GCTGCTCCCGCTGCTGCTCCCGCTGCTGCTCCCGCTGCTATGCTCCCCCTCGTGCTCGTCCCGTCCGTGTAGACCGTGCTCATGCTCCTATACCGCCGCCGCGCTGGACGTTGGACGTGTTCTATTTGCAAGCCGGTCGCACAGGCCACGCACTTAGCCGTTTAGTTCACAAATAGGCCTTTGCGGCCGCAGGGTCCCAGCGGAGCGCTCCCGACCGGCCCCAGGCTTGCCCAGGTGCGACGACCCCGGTGGAATCCCGCTGCTGCTGGCCGTACCGGGGCCCGGGGCGAGCGTCACGTTACGCTGCAGACTGGCGTGAGAGCGAGTGCGAGCGCGATATAGCCTTTCTCACGGTGTGCCTTTTCTCTCTCTCTGTTCCAGGCTGCCGGTGGTGAGCGACTGTTCGCCGCCGACGGCTCGCGTCACCTCCAATCATACGGGGTCCAGCATGGCTGTGTCCCGAGTACCGAGCCCAGCACCTCCGGAAGTCAACACGCCAGTCGCCGAAAATTGGTGCTACACACAGGTGAGGAAACGTGTCTTTATGAATGGTTTTTTATCTTCTCATTTTACCTTCTCTTGACTGCCACGGAAGATGGTACACGTCCTGACCCCCCCCCCCCCCCAGGCCGTGGGGCCCAGGCTTGCACTGCAGGAGAGGGCTGGGCTTCCGTCTCGTAGTTCAGAGGGACCTGTGGGGGACACAAGCCTTTATTGCGTTGCGTTCGCGCAGTGCCGCGCAACACCCATTGGCCCATTGGTCTATGCGTCTCATTTTATTCCCCCCGCGCTGGGCGTGCTGGGCTGGGGTCGCCGCGACGCGCGGAAGAGAGAAAGGGAGAGAGAAAAGGGGGGAAATGCGTGTGGTGTGCACTGTCGCCGCCGCGCGGGGAGAAGTGGCGTAGCGTGACTGCAGGCCGCAGGAGGGCCACGCTACGCCACGCCACGCCCCGAGAGCCCCACGCGCCCTGTGGGCTGCCGCTGTCACGATCAGCCCCCGTTCGGAGTGTGTTTTAGTCCCCCGCGGCCTTCACGGCCTGGGCAGGGCTGGGCAGGGCAGGGAGGGGAAGGCAGGGCGCAGCAGGGGCTCGGGTCGATGAACCCAACCCGCACGCGGCATCATGGCTCTGCTGCACGGGCGTGGGGAGGTGTGGGGGCGGGCTACGGATGCCATCCGTGGCATCGGTCTCTCTCCCTCCCTCTCTCCTCTCCTTCCTTTCCCTCTTACCCTTCTCACCCTTCTCCCAGCCACTCGCTACCCGCACCGGTCAAAGAAATGTGGGAATTACTCCAATCCAATATTACACGAGTGACAAACAGAACAGTACTGTTGTGCCTACAGGCACAGGTCACAGACGAGGTCACAGATCACAGGATGTCTCCCATGCGCAGCGATCAAGCTGGCTCGGAAACGAAAACCTATCCGCCTTTGGAAAGAAAATTATACCATTCTGTAGACAGTTCTCGGTAGGATCGGAACGTGGGTGTGGTTTGGACCGTTACAGTAAGAGGACATTGTAAAAGAAAGGGGGGGGGGGGGAGGCTGCAGTATTTACATTCTTTAGGGGAGGATAGGGCGTCCCTCCTTTTGTATCAAGAATAGGCAGAGTTCCTAATGTTTGTTTTGTTTGATTTGGTAATTCCTATTGTATTATTTTGTACTTATTTTGAATTTATTTGTGTTACAGGTTAAGGTGGTCAAATTCAGCTACATGTGGACCATTAATAACTTCAGTTTCTGCAGAGAGGAGATGGGGGAAGTTCTCAAATCATCCACTTTCTCAGCGGGAGCAAATGATAAACTAAAATGGTAAGTAAAAACCATATTCTACTCTCTTGCTTTATTTTTAAATAGGCCAAAAAATGAAATATAACACACCTATTTTTATGTTTTGCAGGTGTTTACGAGTAAATCCTAAAGGCTTGGATGAAGAAAGTAAAGATTATCTATCACTATATTTACTTCTAGTCTCTTGTAACAAATCAGAAGTTCGAGCAAAATTTAAGTTCTCCATATTAAATGCCAAGAGAGAGGAGACCAAAGCAATGGGTTGGTTATTTTGACTTCTACCAATCTAATCCAACAAGCTGCAAAATGATTTTTAAATATACAGTTTTAAATCTAAATTTTTTAAATTACAGAAAGTCAGCGGGCATACAGATTTGTCCAGGGAAAAGATTGGGGTTTCAAGAAATTTATTCGTAGAGATTTCTTGTTAGATGAAGCTAATGGATTATTGCCTGATGACAAACTAACAATATTTTGTGAGGTAAGTCAATTCAAAACTCTAAACATTCTCCTTCTGAAATAACTTATGATTCACATTAAACTAATGAATATTTCTTTTACCAGGTGAGTGTTGTAGCAGACAGTGTCAACATCTCTGGACAATCAAATACAGTTCAATTTAAGGTCCCAGAATGCAGACTGTCGGATGATATGGGCCTTTTATTTGAGAACCAAAAGTTTAGTGATGTTACTCTCTCTGTGTGTGGGAGAGAATTCCAAGCACACAAAGCCATACTTGCAGGTAATTATTCAAACATCCTTGTTAATGATTTGCACCAAAATCATTTGTTCACCTTTCATGTATTTAATTGATGATTGATGCTTTACAGCACGGAGTCCTGTGTTTGCTGCCATGTTTGAACACGAAATGGAAGAAAGAAAACACAACCGTGTTGCAATAATGGATGTAGACCATGAAGTTTTAAGAGAAATGCTGAGGTTCATTTACACGGGGAAAGCAGCAAACCTTGAAAAAATGGCTGATGATTTATTAGCAGCAGCAGACAAAGTGAGTTTTTGTCATTTTTCATTTCATATCAAATTAATTGTAAAGTGTATATTTTAATTTCTTTCTTTCTTAATTTTTAGTATGCACTAGAAAGGCTAAAAGTAATGTGTGAAGAAGCATTATGTACCAACTTATCAATAGAAAATGCAGCAGAGACCTTAATACTTGCAGATCTGCATAGTGCAGATCAACTGAAAGCTCAAGCAATTGATTTTATCAATACGTGAGTATCTCAATATTTTTTTACATATATGGGCAGTTTGAAATTATTTTTCTTTTAGCTAACTGGTTCTTACCAAAATTATAACATTCTTACAGGCATGCAACAGATGTCATGGACACCTCCGGCTGGAAAGCAATGATTCAGTCACATCCCCACTTAATTGCAGAGGCATTCCGAGCTCTTGCAACCCAACAAATACCTCCCGTCGGACCTCCTCGAAAACGTGTCAAATCAAGCTGAAAACAGCCCTCTGTGGTGGGGGACCCCAAAAAGTGTTGACTCTCTGTGGATGATGTGCTGGGAGCCTAAATCTAGACTTCCCATGTAATTGTCCAAGCAACTCTACCCTCCACCTCAGAATGTGGCCATACTGGACTTTTCTGTGCCACCCTATTGCCAGTAGTGCTGGTATCCCTGTGATGCTGACCTCCATTAGACCTGTAATAGATCTCCCCAAGCAATAAAACATCTCTCCATTGTGGACCTCCGCTTTTTGAGTACTGTTGTGTGACTAGCGCACTTGTACAACTCACAAATTATTTTTCTTTCCTTAGATGGAAGTTAAGTTTTAACTTTTTGTGGCGCCACATGTATTTAAAGACTAGTGTTCCAATCTTAATCATAAATCCTCTCTCTGCCAAAGCCTCTTCCTTTGTAAGTGTCATTATGTTCCCATTGCATAACACTGTAGCTACACAGGTCTAACTAATAGGCTCTTTTCGACCTGATCTCTGATTGCTGTAATTTTGAATAAATACATGTAGGGTTAATAAATTATCTTATTGACTATGTTAATAATTTGTGTAAAGTGTGTTCATGACCTGTGAGGTTCAGTGTTGTGCCGTGGAGCTGTGGTCTTTTGAATTAAGTCAGGCAGCAGAGATATGACTGTGGAGATCATTCCCCAGCCTGTGGCTCCCTGGCCGTCTGGACCAGATCTTACTGCATTGTGTGTGATATATCAATGGTGGCATGTACTTCACTTGTTTTAGCTCTATTGATTACTGTTTTTCTAAATCATTTTTTGGCTTTAGATTATATTATAGAGAAATTGGTCCTCCCTCCTGTTTTTTTGTTGTTTTTTTTATTATTATTTTTTTTGTTCTTATATGATGACATTTCAGTTTCATGAATATTGAAAGTGCATTTATGTATGTGAATAACATTTTGTCAAAAATTGTAAGTGCTCAGAACAGAACATCATTTGTAGCAAGTGGAAACATGTTATTGGTGTAGTGATTTATTTTAATCACCTCACTGCTTACATTGAAAATTTCTGTGATTTAATGTAGTATAAAAAAAGAGATTACTAATTTGAAAGCTGTTGATAATCAAAAGCTTTTTGATGAGTAAATTTGCAAGGACAATGTGTAAGGGCTCAAATTTGTTAGGCCTGCTCCTTGCAATTTAGGCACATGATGTTGCGAGGGTCTCTTTGAGGGCTGGTCATCTGTTCCATGTCTTGAAACAGAATGAGCGCAGTGTGGTGGAGGCAGTCTGTGTTAAATAAACTGTATATAGCTAGCAAAGGTGCATCCTAATTTGATTTAGGGCCTTTTAATTGGCCTTTGTCATGCCCTGTAAATAACAATTCAGAATGCATCTTTGCTTAATAGAATACATAAACCAACCATTGATCTCTTAACCAGTTTTGCCTCCAATTTGAAACAGGAGTGTAATCAATGTTACCTCACAACATTATTTGTTCAATTTTTTATTATTATTTTTCCCCTTTATTTTGTGCTGTAAAATGCTTGTCTTTCGTAAAGACTTAGAGTGATTTGCAAAAAGCTGGAGTGAAAGCTATGAATATATGTTAGAGTGTATGTGTGTGTGTTAGTGTGTGCGTGAGAGAGACAGAGGATGCAAGAGTATAGACTGAGAGCTGTACTACTCTCAAATTCGATGTCTCCATCTTATAGTATGATCTTTGGCAATACCATCAAATGAATTTTGCATGTGTCAAAAAACATGGCTGTGCCAATTAGTCTCTTTTGATAGTTTCTAATATCACATCTGTGTTTTTACAAAATCGCAATTGAGAGTTGTGAGTCTCATGTTTAAACCTGTTTGAATGTGCTTTTTGCATCAGAGTAGGTTTTTGAAAGATAGCGTTTTGTCCCCCCCTCCCCCCTTTTTTTTCTCTTTTTTTTTTCAAATATTTTGATTTGGTCTGAGTAGATTAAGTGTTGGCAAGCAGTGGTATCAGCGCCAATCAATTCATGGTATGAGCAGTTGCTCCAGAGTGATTTGTAAACAGTCAATTCCAGTCACTATTAGAATATTGAATTCCTTTTTCCCCAACGTTGCTTTCAAGGTTGTTGGTACCTTTTTAAGTTCATTTGAACTAACCTGATGAACTTGGTTGTTCAATGATTTTATCACAAATTGCCTCAGTTGTACATAAATTTATTGATGGCAAGGAGTTAAATTCACATACCATAATGGGAATGGCTTTGTCATTGTCCATGAATTACCAAAGATTCAAAGTGAAATGTGAATGCTGCTCCTTGTATGTTGTTTAGGTTACCACAACCTTGATGGTCAAGTAAATTTTGAACTTTACAAAGCAGATTGTAACAAAGTTTAGCGGAGAAGTTCCCTGCAACATGGAGTACTGCTCTTAAACATGTGGCAGGATGTGCGTCCATAATTGTTGTTTATTATCATGCACCTCAGCAATACTGCCCTTGTTGGAAACTGTTCCCCATTATTGCAATGGCCTGCCCGAAACACCTGTATGCCATAACATGTACTGTGATAACTGTTTTATTTTTTTCCTCTTAAACTGGAGTTGATTCCTTGTTCATTGTAAGTAAATACCCACCTCGACATACCTTCCGGAAAAATGTCGGTATCACGGCAGCACACTGTGAATGAATTGTCTGCTGTGTGGGATTTTCACTGTGCAAAGTAATGTTTGAAATTTTAGGATTAAGTGTGAATTAAAAAAATGAACATTCACTGTAAATTTCCTTTTACTCAATCAATTTCATTGCATACACTCCATCATCACCCTACATCAGATTTCTGATATCAATTTCTGATATCATACTGACACCTCCAAGACTGACCACAAACACCTGCCTAACTGTTTCAAGGTGTAAATCAAGCTTAAATATTAGTTTCTATAAACTATA